TATATGTGTGTGTGTGTGTATATATATATATATATATATATATATATATATATATATATATATATATATATATATATATATATATATATATAAGAGAGAGAGAGAGAAATAAATAGTCTTATTTTATATATAGATATGCAAGAGCGAATTTTCATATTAGTCAAACTTCTAAAATTTAAAAGTTTTTAATTCTCAAATTTGTTTTAATTAAACATAACTATTGATGATATTTTGAACAATGTAGATTAAAATAAATTTAATATTAAATAAGATTTTTTCATGAATTTATTACTAAATAAGTCCATATAGGAGGGACCGACCTCCAAATTTTTCCTTTTTAATGGGTTTTGTGGAAGCCGGTCCATACTTGTGGACTTTTGAGAGAAGAAAAACAAACTCATTCTTTGTGGGACTTAAAGGACAATTAAAAGAATAAAAACTAATTTACCCTTAATGAAATAAATAACTATATTATAAAATGGACAGTAACAACAATACGGTAATNAATTTACCCTTAATGAAATAAATAACTATATTATAAAATGGACAGTAACAACAATACCGTAACNTAAAAACTAATTTACCCTTAATGAAATAAATAACTATATTATAAAATGGACAGTAACAACAATACGGTAATAATAACAGCGACACAATAATAGTAACAGTAACAACGACACAATAATAGTAACAGTAACAGTCATTGTCACAATAACACTATTACATTAACAATAATGCCCGCGTGAGTGGTTGTGTAAGGGACGATGGCTGTGAATGAAAGTACTATGAAAGGTGGTAGGGCTGGAGCATAGAATAGTGATGGACTAGATAGTAACACAATTACAGTAACAAACATTATTACTGTCAAAATTCAATCGAACTAGACAGTCACACGATCACAATAACAACCACAATCACTGTCAAAATTTTACGGAACTAGATAAGAGTGTGAACTAAATAACCACAAGATCACAGTAATAACTACATGATCACAGTAACAACCACAATAACAATCAAACCTATTAATAGAACGGTGCATAAATTTAAATAGAAAAAAAACACATAATTTTTCATTCAGTATCAATATAAATTCAAGATCAATATATCAAAACAACCAAATAAAAGTCGAGATCTAGAAAATCCTTTTATTCATTAGGAAGAACTTATATTCGGTGATAAAAAATTTTCACAGTTGGACAAAGCCTTTTTTTTCAACTACTTTGTAAATAAATGGAGAATATGTTTTGGGTGCATCGGTCCAAAGTAGAAAAGAAGCTAGCAGATTTTTCTTCTTGCAACAAGTATTAACAGGTCAAGAATTACTTGCATCAATTTCGAAATTGTATAGTATTTACTCCAGCTCCTTTGAGATTACGGACACTTACGATATGTGTAAATGTCGATGATTATTTTGTACTTCAATTTTATATAGTTTCACCATATAAAAATAAACTTCCATTGGTTTCAAAAATAAAAAATAAAAATAGAGAACGATTGTAAATCATGTGAATGCGTCTGTGTTATGTCTCTATGTTATGAATCTGAGAATGATTGTGAATCGTTGGATGTGTCGATCAAAACTAGGGTATCCGCAGAGAGAGAGAGAGAGAGAGAGAATCTTAGGATTGCAAAAGTCGTCGGTAAGATTCGTGTGAACTACTTTGCGTGTGTGAAAGAGANTTAAATATTTATTTCTAAAATATCCCAAAATATTAATCAAAATATACATAAACATATTGGACATTTTAAAATATTGATGAAAATATATTAAAAATACATCAAAACACTGTACAACATTTTAAAATACCTTGAAGAATTAAAAATTGATTCAATTAATAATTCATGTTGNTAAAAAAAAAAACTGGACCTACTTAATTGCGCTTGAATTTATTGACAAAAGAGATGCTCATATTATATTTGGTCCTAATTTTTACTTTTTTTTATTACTCATCAATTAAACATAGTTATCTTGAATCTAAATTGTGGGCCTTGATCCAGCCTTTAATCACATGGCCCAGTAAATATTTCCAGCCCCGAAGGCTGTTGAGACTGGCTCAAACATTGGGCATCCCGCCAGCTTTTTATTGTCTATGTATGCATAAGGTTATTTGAGACCAATCTCAACATTTTAGTATGGGTTGTAAAATTTATGATAGCTCCCAAAATTTTAAGATTAATCTCAACTAATTTTTTATCCATACCCTAACATCATTTGGTTTTTACAAATCTTTTTGAGTCATATCTTGATCCATAATAAATTATAATAATCTTCTATTTACTTGTAACTTTTACTACCGTGTTTATTTTCACTCTTATTGTAATCAAAATTAAGAAAATCGAAAAGAAAATTATAATTGAAAGGCTCTTGGGCTAAATGCACCTTGATGACAGGCTTGTAGCAATGCCCTATCCTCCTTATTTGAGTCTAGACTTTTGCTTAAGCACAAGTGGTCCTCATATTCCACACACGTCCAAGTTTAGCAAGGTGGTTTCTTTTTCTTTTTCATTTTTCGTGTGCAACAAAGTATAAGGTTATTCCTATAAAAAAAAAAAAAGGATGTGAATAGCTAACAACATGTGGTCTATGACATATTAAGGATGTCGATGTTTTGAAATGTTAGACTGACGTCTCTACAGCTCTTTATAAATGTTTGTGAAACTAGTTTTCATAGATATTTTGCGAAAATAGAGCACGTAAATCCTCGTTATAATAGACACTGGTATTGCCACATCCTTGTGGCGTTCTCTCCTGTGTTGTATCTTACCACTCCCATTTCATGTTTCCCAACTACTAAAATATTGGTTAAAAAGTTGAATAATATTATTTAAAACAAATTTGTTAACTTAATTTAGTACGACCGTTGGTTTTATAGTTGGACTTCATCTAATATTTAAATGTTTTACTAATCCAACAATTGAAAGGAATTATGCTAATAAATTAAGTTTAAATAATATTACTCTAAAATTTTTTGGTTGTATAGGTTGGGCACCTAATCCAAGCTATGGCATGGGCCCAATATAGGCTCAACCCCCCCCCCCCCCCCCCCTCTCTCTCCCCCTCTGTCGTCCGTTCTTTAATGGTCCCTATAGATCTACCTCAATTTTCTATAATCATTTATTGTTGGGTATTTGTTATAGTTGAATTCTTGCTACAATGATGTTCAAAAATTATCATCCATTTAATAGATAATGGCAAAATCTAGAGAAAAATTGGAACCTTTGTTTATCGCCAAAACTGTCTTAACCATTTTTGTTTAAGACTCAAATGTTTATTTCAGTGCATTATTTCGATCACCCAAGTAAATGAAAATATTTTGAAAATAGAATAGAAAGATAACAAATTTAAATATTTATTTCTAAAATATCCCAAAATATTAATCAAAATATACATAAACATATTGGACATTTTAAAATATTGATGAAAATATATTAAAAATACATCAAAACACTGTACAACATTTTAAAATACCTTGAAGAATTAAAAATTGATTCAATTAATAATTCATGTTGGTTTTCTTAAAAACAAAAACGTTTCAATCATTTCAATTGTTTCATAATGAGATTTTGATCCTTATTTTTGTTTTGAATTAATTTTTACGGCCAAATGCTATCATGCTTCCTTCCATACGTTGGATAGTCAGCATTGTGGTTTGAATACTTTGAAGTTTTCTAATGACCTTTTCAAAAGAAGTTAAGTCGAAATTAAAGTATTGGAAAGTAATGGATGAAATGTACGACAATTCAAACCCTTTGGCGAAAGTGATTGATTCTTCGTTATCTTTTCCTGAATATTCTTAATACTGAAAAATCATTTTTTTATTGTTATAAAATTAATTATAATTAACTAATTTTGTGAAATCTTTTTGTAAATTTTAACCTAAGCCCATAGCCATGATACTTCAAAGATCAAATTTCAAAAGCTACAAAAAAGGGAGTTGTTCAAGTTTCAAAGCCAATCAAGAGATCTTCGATGCACCCTTAATAGCTTAAGACAAAAGTAATAACCTATATACTTAAGAATTATTAGTTTAATTTTATACTTTGACCTATTAAGTTAATGAAAATTGAATATAGGATTATCCATAAATGACTCGTAAACTTTTCAAGAAAATTATTTTCTAAACATCAAAATGTGTTTTGAAAACAAAAGATGAGTCATGCATCGGATCATAGTTGAACAACACTCCTCAATGTTCAATAGGTCAACTTTTTGTTTTGTTCCTAACTAAAAAACTAGTACAGACTATTCTCTACTCGTTCACATTCAGTTAAAGTGGTCTATGAACAATTAGGGAGATTTAACTAAAGAACCGGTGAAGACAACTCTCCAATTGTTTGAGCATTGTCTGGCTAATGAGTTAATTTCAATTGCTAACAAAACATGGTTCATATATCGCAGAGCTTTTTACCATACCCACGCCCCACTAGAACTTATATCCNTAGATCTACATCAATTTTCTATAATCATTTATTGTTGGGTATTTGTTATAGTTGAATTCTTGTTACAATGATGTTCAAAAATT